ATTGGTTTGCTTTTTTAATGTTGCTAAGCAATCCTATAATAGAACCTGGGTTTGATTTCAATTTGGCACAGAATTAAAGTTTCAGGTTAATGTTGGTGTTTAGTAACTATATATTAAAATGATATTTAATTAGTTTTTTTTTTAAAAACTTTGTTTGATTATCAAAAGCGACTAATGTCCATTGATTACTTTTAGTTTTGAAAATAAAGCAATTGAATTGCTGTTAGAGACCTGTGAGCATCAAATCATCAGTTCAAAAGATGAAGTGCAAGATGGTGATAACCAGCAATTTAATTTGGAAAATGAAACATAGTAAATGGTTTATTTGACTTTTTTGCATATATCTTAATGTGCAATTAATGAATAAATTTGTGCAGTTCACAAGATGTTCTCAGTAAAAATGAATCAAATGAAGATCTGCTGCGACTATATCTTGGTCTTATATTCACTACATGGGAAGATGTAGACAAGTTTATAGAATCATATAGATATTCAAGTATTTGTCATTGTAGCTATGAATATTCTTACTCATGTGTACACAAGCCCAAAAAAAATATGATATCACTAAACAGTGCAAACACTATTCAGCAGCAATTAATTGCTGATGGCATGTGAATTTCAATAATCATAAGGGCACTGTCGAGATAGTGTGTACATCGTTTGATGATGGGCATAGCTATGATTTGAATCCTATAATTGTTCAAACTGCACCACATTTTCATAAATTGTCAAAGGAAATGCTAGAGGATATAGAATTTTATACACGTTCTGCGGAAGGCATGGGTGCCAAGATACAGTATAATCTTTTGAAAGTGAAATTTTTAGGCAAATATATTGAAAAAAAAGATTTATATAATTCTATTTAACGGTTCTGAATTCTATCATGTAAGAAACTGAAAACTGATGCTGCAGAAGCTCTACAACAGTTGATAGCTTTAAAAGCAAATAATCTTGAATGGATTGTTATATCTAATATAGAGAGTGAAGAAAACAGGCTGACTGCACTTTTTTGGATGTCTTCTTTACAAGTTTCTTTATAGTCTCAATTTCATGACATTGTTATTACTAATAATACATACAAGACAAATTGTTATAAAATGCCATTGTGTCTTTTCTTAATCATCGATAATAATACTTGCT